CATGTTTATACAGGACTAAAGGCTCACTACATGTTTTATACAGGGCTCAGTCACTACATGTTTATACAGGACTAAAGGCTGAGTCACTACATGTTTATACAGGACTAAAGGCTGAGTCACTACATGTTTATACAGGACTAAAGGCTGAGTCACTACATGTTTATACAGGACTAAAGGCTGAGTCACTACATGTTTATACAGGACTAAAGGCTCCAGTGGCTGAGTCACTACATGTTTATACAGGACTAAAGGCTCAGGTGGCTGAGTCACTACATGTTTATACAGGACTAAAGGCTGAGTCACTACATGTTTATACAGGACTAAAGGCTCAGGTGGCTGAGTCACTACATGTTTATACAGGACTAAAGGCTGAGTCACTACATGTTTATACAGGACTAAAGGCTCAGGTGGCTGAGTCACTACATGTTTATACAGGACTAAAGGCTCCAGTGGCTGAGTCACTACATGTTTATACAGGACTAAAGGCTCAGGTGGCTGAGTCACTACATGTTTATACAGGACTAAAGGCTCAGGTGGCTGAGTCACTACATGTTTATACAGGACTAAAGGCTCCAGTGGCTGAGTCACTACATGTTTATACAGGACTAAAGGCTGAGTCACTACATGTTTATACAGGACTAAAGTTTATACTAAAGGAGTCACTACATGTTTATACAGGACTAAGTCTACATGTTTATAGGCTGAGGTGGCTGAGTCACTACATGTTTATACAGGACTAAAGGCTCAGGTGGCTGAGTCACTACATGTTTATACAGGACTAAAGGCTCAGGTGGCTGGGTCACTACATGCTAATGGAGGGAGGACGGTAGAGTGCCTGAGGACATCCTGGCTGAGTCACTACATGTTTATACAGGACTAAAGGCTGGGTGAAAAAATGTTTATACAGGCTAAACCTCTAGGTTACGAAATATACAGATGTGTGCAAGCTGAGGATGGTAAAGGGTACAAGTGGCCACTACATGTTATACAGGACTTGGCTTATACCAGGACTAAAGGTTGCTAAAGGTGGCTGAGTCACTACATGAAATAGGGGGGGGGGGAAAGAGAGAGGCTGAGTCAGGATCACAAGTTTATATTGCAGAAAGGATGTGAGCTGGGTCACTACATGTTTATACAGGACTAAAGGCAAATGATCGTTTCAACAATCCTGAAATCCCTTGCATTAATTAAAGAAGATTTTTTTTTTAACGCGGGTGGGTCTTGCTAGTTACATTCGCCACCGCCATGGACTGGGAGTCCCGTGCCTTTTCATGGCACGATATAACACTGTCGTCTGGAAAGATAGAAAGGTGCCGCCAACAATAACAACGCGCCATAGGCATGTCTGGCATGAGGTTCTAGCCACAAATGTCTGTACACTAATTAACAGTGGCTAATAAACAGCATCTTATCTTGGAAGCTGAAATATTTTGGTCATATAAAGCGCCATAACGGGTTGGAAAGATAATAGCAGGAGGCATGGTATCAGGAAAGGGAGGGCGCAGGGACTGACCAACCCAAAGATGGATACAGGATATAAGTGACTCCTTAAATATGAAAGTACACGGGGCGGGAGAACTTCTTCTTCGCGTTCACCGGCTGTAAACTCCGGGGTTGCTATGATTTGCTCTTGGAATATGAGGTTTCAATCTTACAGACAGTAGTCCCGAAAAAAAGGGGGGAGGGAGGGGGGTGGAATTGAACAAACCAGCTTACCACGCTAAAAAGTGTAGCGCTGAAAAAATGATGCCTGGAAGAAAAAGGTGATGCTACTGCTTATAACTGCACACCGCCCGAAAGAAATGAGTATCATACATGTCCTATGGACATTATACATGTCACAAATATTTTGTGTACGTGTCAGGTTGGCCATACGTCCCGCTTTCACCGGTACAGTCCCGCTTTATAGGTGTGCCCTGGCCGACCAGTCGGTACGTCAATTGCCCCGTTTTACAAAGATCGAGGAATCCGCTCGAGCAAAGAACATACACTTATGGGTATTTGTGTAGACTTCATTGAATTTCAAAGCTTTAGATACCTTTAATGACTTAAATGTGCTGATAAGAACTTTAACTGTAGCATCCCCCACCCCACCCCAACCACTCCTATTACAATTCAAGAGCCTGTTCTTTCATTTATTTCTTGGCGTCACTGGTTCTCTTCTGGCTTTAATACCATTGTTGAACGAGTCGTTAACCCTTTCACCCCGGTGACCTAGCGAAAAAAAAAAGACGGGGGGGGGGGGGGGGGACAGGTGTTATCTGACTTGCTTGGTGTGCCCTATTTTTATTGCAAAATATGAGTGGGATGTCCCGTTTTCAGCTCAAGATATTAGTCACGCTGGCAAGTGTTTTAGAAGAGAATCCCCGATGTGGAGCTTAGAAGGAGTACAAAACACACCAGGAGACAATGGAAAGACATGACGCACATAGAAAACCTTTCGATATTCAAATTAGAATGTTTTTTTTTTTACTGGAACCCGCATGTCTCAAGAGGCTCATGAAAGTAGACCTCTATATACAACAATAAGAAAGAGACAAACACTGTTCTTTGGCCACATAATGAGAAGAGAGACATTGGAGAACATCGTGACAACTGGAAAGAGGGGTAGAGGCAGACCAAGAGAGATGATGCTGGATGGGCTGAAACGATGGCATGGAGGGATATCAAGAGAGCTTTTCCAGGCAACCAGGGATAGTGATATATGGAGACGCATGAGCGCCTACGCCGGTTGGCAGGGCACATGGTGATGATGACATGTCTCAGGCGCATTTTTCATAGTTTAAAACAGAATATAATATTCACTCTTTGCTCCATGCTGCATACATAACAAAGACATTTTCACTAGCTGAAAAAAATGGCATGTTATTTGTTGTCTGTTGATCAGTCAGCGTAGCAATTAGGTCAAATGAAAGGTGAATAATGCCAGTTTGGATGACATGCTTTGCCTTATGAGTGACGTTTTTTTGACGTGATTATTATAAAATCAGTCTCATTACTTGAGTGTTGGACAGGATTTTTGATACAAACTGACGATACAACTGCATGATCTATATATATCCTTGTCGTCATTTCCTCGGCATATCGCTTATCGTATGCAGCCCTCGTGTAGCTTAATGCATACTACAAGCAGTGCAGAAGGAGAAAAAGAAGAAGAAGGAGGAGAAAAAGAAGAAGAAGAAGGATGTACATTATAATGACCTACTGGATAAATAGTTTTGGTGGTGGGCAGGTTTCTTAAATTCCACTCTATCCCCCTTAGGAATTGTTCTCTGAAAGTTCGACTCCCATATTTCAAGAGCAAACCCCATCAACTGGTTCAGTCCTGTACAACTGTTATACGTGGGCATGCTATGGTTGTGAACTAACCGGCTGTCCAGTTTTGGTGAATATGAAGTATCTTGTTGTTAGCAGGTTGACATCTTCAGTTAAGCATCTCATGTGTTGCGAACGCACTTCGTAATTTTGGGGTGCCTGGTTCGATTTCCAGATGGGGGCGATTTTGTAGCAGACCGAACTGCCTTGGTTTGAACAGTGGTATCGGAAGCGGACCGTTTAGTGAGAACTGCAAACTACTGAATGTAGAACTACATAGTAAAATCACACAGCAAAATTTGCGCCTATCCACCGACACAAATGACTGCTGCAGGCATTTGTTGACCTGGTTAGCTTTTGTTATGTCTGACTGACTGACTGACTTTCTACCCCACCAGGACATCACACAAGCGATAAACACCCGATGACACAAAGTGCCACCATGCGGATGAGGATCACCGCGGAGAGGTCCCAGAAACCGCGTTCAGACAATTGGCCATATTGATGGCCTGCCTATATTGCGGCCCCTGGCAAAAGCCAGAGTGGGGCTTCAACTAACAAAAAATTACGTCCTAAGAAGGACGTAAGGATCAATTCTATTTATTTTAATTTAGAACAGATAACGGACGAATACATGTTCCTAGTTTTCATGTAATTCGATTACATTTCCCATTCCTAGTAGCATTTTCCTTTTCTGTTGATATCTGCATGCTAGATGCATATCTTTCCCCCCACAGATGACCGCAGAGCCATGGGATTACCGTCGCCAACTTAGATTTTTATAAATTTGACCCAGGTTCAGGAAGCCCTCCCAAGCCAGGGGGGGGGAGGGGGAGAAAGGTTGTATTCTGATTATCTATACAGATGGTTCGGTGCTTAAAGAAAAGAGACGTGCATGGGGGAAACCAATGGAAAATCCTTATTGCAAGACAGCCTAGCATACGACACCACAACATCTAGCATGAGAATTGAGGTGGAGGCGGTAACTGCAGCTTTCCGGTGGCTAGAGAACAAGGTGCATACAAATGTTGTAATTGTAACAGACTATGTATGCTGAGAAAGGTGAAGACAGAAATGCTTCGAGCAGAGCGGCAAGCTTCACTGGGAAGATCACGGGAAGTGAGCATACTTTGGATCTTTTCTCCAGGCATGCCGGCGTAGTAGGTAATGATCAGGCACACAGATAGGTTGGATCTGCACCAATGGGTGGTGAAATGAAACAAGACAAGGCAGACGTGTTAAGGCCCTTTAGGAACAAGCAATAGAATCAGTAGAGAAAGAAGATTATTATGGCCTGGAGAGAATGAGGCACCTGGGTGTAACCAGAGTGTCTGGCCGGCACACTACACTCAGAGGAAAGGCAAGACGGACAAATAACCTGATTGTGACCGTTACCATCAGTACTTGAACTCTGCGCTAGCTGCTGAAGATGAGGACGTGGGAATGCCCCGAGTGCTGTGATGTCAATGCTTGACTCAACTCCCAAGCAAGGAAAAGTAACTCTGATGCTCACAAAATGCAGAGTTAGTCAAGGGCCTGTGTTGTCATCGGAGTAACTGAAACTGTCGATTTTTGTCGAAATTAATAATTCTGGGCAATTTTCATTGATTCTGAACAAAGCCAGACATGAATAGATAATATAGTGTATTCACTAAGCCCTATGAGGGCCGCATGCTACCAGCGACATGCCGAGGAAGAGGCGATACGGGTACAGATCCCGTAAGGAGAGAACAGAAGTCAGCTGTTGTATCAAATATTTGATGTTCGGATTCAATGTTTTGTTTTGGGTAAGTAGGTTTTAGGTGATTTTGTTGTTGTTGTATTTATCACTGTCAGTGTTGTGTTAAGTAAAACCCACTTGCTAGTAACAGTGTTGTATCAAATCATTGCTTTGTAATTAATATAGCCCGCGAGACGAATTTAGTAAACACTGAAAAAAAAAGTTTTCCTTTGTAGTTTATAAGTTTAGTTTAAATTTTGGCTCTCCTGTCAACTACGGCCGGTAGACAACAGTAGACGGCCGGTTAGTCGGAGTTCTGTCCCTTGGCTACAGTGCAATTACGGAGTGGAAAAGGAGGGAACGAAACAATTGACCTACCCCTAACCGTGCACTGCCCCTAACCGTTTATGATGACAGTAGGGCGTTACTGCCGCACGTCTGTCTATCGCCAACACACAGTAATTATGTCACTTGTTTCGTTCCCTCTAATCCACACCGTAATGCGTCGCAAGAAGCGGTAAGTGAATGCGGTCGCTAATTTGAGTCGCAGCGCAGGTTCTGCCAGACATGTCGACCTCGCTTTGTTTTTTGAATCGTGCCTTCTCCACTCCGTAATTGCACTGTAGCCAAGGGACAGAACTCCGACTAACCGGCCGTCTACTGTTGTCTACCGGCCGTAGTTTACAGGAGAGCCTAAATGTTTATTTATAGTTCAGTTCAGTGTGTGTATTGTATTTCTTACACGGCAATCGCGAATCTAAAAAATGAGTATTGTTGTATAATTCATTTTCAACACTGTTTAACTCTTTCATTACCAGGCAACTCACCATACGTTTTGTTAATTATTCAATACGTATATTGTATATTAGAATACTTGGCTCTCCTTTCAACTACAGCCGGTAGACAACAGTAGGCGGCTGGTTGGTCTGAGTTCTGTCCCCTTGCTGCAGTGCAATTACGGAGTGGAAAGGAGGGAACAAAACAAAACAAATGACATAATTACTGTGTGTTGGCGATAGACAGCGTGCACTGCCCTGCTATAATCATACGGTTTGGGTTAGGGTTAGGGGTAGGGTGTGGTTTAGGGTTAGGGTTAGTGTCGCTGCATCTCGACTTCGCACAAACTCATAGTAGCAACCCTAACCCTACACCTAACCCAAACCGTATGATGACAGTAGGGCACTGCACGCTGTCTATCGCCAACACACAGTAATTAGGTAACTTGTTTCGTTCCCTCTATTCCACACCGTAATGCGTTGCAAGAAGTGGTAAGTGAACGCGGTCGCTAATGTGAGTCACAGCACGGGGTCTGCCAGGCATGACGACCTCACTGTGTTTTCTGATTCGTACCTTCTCCAGTCAGTAATTGCACTGCAGCCAGGGGACAGAACTCTGACTAACCGGCCGTCTACTGTTGTCTACCAGCCGTAGTTGAAAGGAGAGCCGAATACTTTGGCAAACAAACTTGGGCTCTCCTCCAATTATGGCGGCCAAACAAATACTATAATAAGGCCTCAGTCATGTGTAAAATGCGGAGTGCTTGCCGAGGAACAAATCGCGTGAAAACTAGGGTTGCCTCTGAATAACGGGCCAAATATCGAGGGCAAACAAATACTCTGACAGGGTCTTAGCGATATGTTAATTGCAGACCAGTTTCTGTGACAATGCCGCACCGCAGTGCTGTTGGGGGCTAAACTAGAAGGCTGGGACTCATGAGCAAATAAATTGGAAGAAGCTGCAGGAAGCTGCGCAGGGAATACTGTCGGCGGTGAGTTTAATAGGAAGAACACTATCGCTAACCTGCATCGGAGCGTGTGGTCTCCCTGCCATGTCACTATTATCGTGTGTATTGTTGCATTTCTTAAAATTGTCAGTGGACAGTAATACTAGTTTTGCCGCAATGTGTTCTTTTTAGGAAGTCCGCATTTTACACATGACTGAGGCCCTGTTTGGGTATTTGTTTTGCCGCCATAATATGGGAACGATGTTCGAAAGAGAGCCCAAACTTATTCTATAGTAGTTTCTCTTTTTTTTTCTTCTAGTATTTCTACTATATTATTTGCTACGTTAACTTTAACACACCCTGTTGTGTATTTCTGCTATTTTAATTCACTGATACTCAAAGCTTTTTACTTTCAAGTACACAACCCCTGATATAGAAAGAAAAGGTATAAACTGAACGAAAAGTATATTAGCAAGCTTCACAATGTAACAAATACAAACGAAGCTTGAACGTTGCGGTTATGGAGCCTTCATCAGCACACACATATCAAACAATACTACACAAGTATAAAAAATCTCTTAGCTGGTATCTCGAAGCAGCCGGGTTGATGGACTCTCAGCAGACTGCTGACACGCGTGGGCTGGGGGGAATAAATACCCCTGTGGAGTACCAGGGGCCATAACTGGTGGGTTAGAGATAATACTGTGAGGGCAGTTCAGTCCCCTAAGAGTTTAAATGAAACTGTGTTGGCAATTTAGTCTGGAGGGCGTTTAAGTCCCCAAAATGTAAAAAAAGCTATTCTCAAGAAACTTCTGACTCTGTTGCTGGAGTGGCTATATTAAATGGCTGTCACCTCCATGTCGAGGACACCTTGGTGATCCTGGAAATTGAAGTGCAATGGTACTGGTTTCAGGGCACCATTTGGCACATCCAAAAGGTGTTATCTAAACCTGTCAGCCAGTTGTAGACCTGTTTCACCAATATATTTCATGCCACATCTTTTGCAGTTGATGGCATAAATGACATTGCGGCTGGTTCAATAGAATGCTTCACATATGTGGAAGGTGACGTTCGGGAATCCTAGACTAGTCACCTGGACCACATATGGACAGGTCCTCCTTACAGGTCTGTGTCAAGAGACCATGCCAAAGTGGGACTCAGACGCGAGACGTAACCGATTCTTGACTAGAATGTCCTTGAGGTTATGGTCATGCCTGTAGGCCACTAGAGGAGGTTCAGAGAAAGTCGTGCTGGTGGCAGGGTCGGCTTTGACCCTTTGAGTCCCAGGGAGCGCAATACGCACTAATTTGTTACAACCACCTGGCTCAGTCAACGCGTGACAAGTGAAGGTTTTTAATTCACTGCTGACCGGTCATAAAACACAGACCGCTCAATTTCAGCTTCCTTTTGAGTTCTTTGTGTCTGATATCAGGTGTGGTCGACTTCTGCATCGCTTTTGTGGGAAAAGTGAGACTTTCATGTGAAGTATAGACAAATTAGAAGAATATAACAGCGGAAGGGAAAAGTGAGACTTTCACGTGTAGTATAGACAAATTAGAAGAATATAACAGCAGAGGGGAAAAGTGAGACTTTCACATAAAGTATAGACAAATTAGAAGATTGTAGCAACATTTTCAAAAAGTGGACTTTCACGTGAAGTATCAAATTAGAAGAATATAACAGCGGAAGGGAAAAGTGAGTTTCACGTGTAGTATAGACAAATTAGAAGAATATAACAGCGGAGGGGAAAGTGACTTTTTTTATCAAATTAGAAGATTGTAGCAACGGAGGGGAAAAGTGAGACTTTCACGTGAAGTATAGACAAATTAGAAGAATATAACAGCGGAAGGGAAAAGTGAGACTTTCACGTGTAGTATAGACAAATTAGAAGAATATAACAGCGGAGGGGAAAAGTGAGACTTTCACATAAAGTATAGACAAATTAGAAGATTGTAGCAACGGAGGGGAAAAGTGAGACTTTCACGTGAAGTATAGACAAATTAGAATATAACAGCGGAGGGGAAAAGTGAGACTTTCAGGTGAAGTATAGACAAATTAGAAGAATATAACAGCGGAGGGGAAAAGTGAGACTTTCACTTGTAGTATAGACAAATTAGAAGAATATCATGGCGGAGGGGAAAAGTGAGACTTTCATGTGAAGTATAGACAAATTAGAAGAATATAACAGCGGAAGGGAAAAGTGAGACTTTCACGTGTAGTATAGACAAATTAGAAGAATATCATGGCGGAGGGGAAAAGTGAGACTTTCATGTGTAGTATAGACAAATTAGAAGAATATTTTGGCAGAGGGGAAAAGTGAGACTTTTACGTGTAGTATAGACAAATTATAAGAATATCATGGCGGAGGGGGGAAGGGAAAAGTGAGACTTTCATGTGTAGTATAGACAAATTAGAAGAATATTTTGGCGGATGGGAAAAGTGAGACTAAGTGTAGTATAGACAAATTAGAAGAATATAACAGCGGAGGGGAAAAGTGAGACTTTTACGTGTAGTATAGACAAATTAGAAGAATATTTTGGCGGAGGGGAAAAGTGAGACTTTCATGTGTAGTATAGACAAATTAGAAGAATATAACAGCGGAGGGGAAAAGTGAGACTTTCACGTGTAGTATAGACAAATTAGAAGAATATAACAGCGGAGGGGAAAAGTGAGACTTTCACGTGAAGTATAGACAAATTAGAAGAATATAAGAGCGGCGGGGGGAAAAGTGAGACTTTCACGTGAAGTATAGACAAATTAGAACATTATTTTAACAGTGGAGGGGAAAACTGAGACTTTCACGTGAAGTATTATACAAACTTTATTTTCAAAGAATATAATGACGGAGGGGAAAAGTGAGACTTGCAGGGTATGGTATAAACAAATAAGAAGAATATGACAGCAGAGGGGAAAAAGTTGTAGACTTGCGTGGTTGGTGTAAAGACAAATTAGGAGAATATATCATCGGAGGGGGAAAAGTGAGACTTCACGTGAAGTAAACAATAAAAGTGTAACACATGGAAAAAAAATTACTCGTTGAGGAAGGTTTTTTTTTAAAGAGACAGAACTAACTGTTGTAATCCCAGGGGAAAAGTGAGACTTTTCATTTTATATATAGACAAATTAGAAGAATATATCATTAGGGGATTTGTGAGACTTTCACGTTGTAGATAGACAAATTAGAAGAATTCACGAGGGGAAAAGTTAAGACTTTCACTTGATCATCATCCATAGCAGGTCCTTTGCAGACTTCTGTGGTGATCACGTAGTTACTCTTAGACTTCAGTGGTGATCACGTAGTTACTCTTAGACTTATATAGTGATCATGTAGTTACTCTTAGACT